TAGAATAAAGTTTGTTAATAACGAATGTTGATTCAAAACTAAGATAACAGAAAAAGAAATAATCTATTTCTTTTTCCTTTGAATATAAATCTTTTTGGAAACTAAATCCTATTGATTAATTTTATATTTAAAATATACACAATAAAAATTAATCAAAGAGATTGTAGATGAAATTATTGTATATATAATTTATTATCATTAAAATATTCTATATTGAGTTATAAAGAAAATTTTTTGAAAAATAATAAATAATTTATTAATTTTGCTAATTCTTGAAAATGTATAAATTGTAAAAGCAGAGTATTTCCCCAGCTTAATATGTTAACATTTGATTTGTTTCAAAGAGAGTTACACATTGGAATTTCCTATCTATTCATTGGGAAATATATTTATACATTTGCTAGAAATATAGAACGTTCCTTGTTTTAATAACGTATGTAAATGGCGGACTCAATAAATCAATGATTCGTAATGAAGTTTCCTTAAATGTACATATGAATATATATGAATATATATATGAATATGCCAAGTACGTATTTTTTCAAATATATAATTTAAGAATCTGCTCAGGGACATAACATGTCTGTCTACAGACCTGACTTCCCTTTTATTTCACAGCACGTTGACAATGCTGGAATTCAAATTGATCATTGACTAATATATATTACGCACATTATATCAATAAACTCTCGTAAGGTGAAGGTTAACGAGAATGTAAGGGGTTTGTATAGCACAAATGAAAGCGAGACCTTTTTATATAACGTCATTTTGTTTAATATGTTTCTATGCATGTTTCAACTAACATATATACAGAACATATATACATTATTTTTATTATATTATTTCCTTTCTGTATAAATAAAAATAATATGTATAATAAAATAATATGTATAATAAAATAATATGTATAATAAAATAAAATTCTTCCTATTTTTTTTAAATATGATGAATTTTTTGGAATAATTAAAAATTGTATTTATACGTAAAAAAATCCAATTGTCGATTTCTACAACAAATAATCTGTCTTTACTGGACATTGCGAAACAAGTTGATACTTGGCAGTTTTATAAATTTGTTTTGTCAAGTTAATCATGACCTCTATCACGTAACTGAGAAGAACTTATCACGTATAGATACAAGTTTGATGTACTTTTCCCTTATTATCTCTAAACTATGTGACGTTTATTTACGTAGGTGTAATGAGAAAAATTTAATGCCACGAGCGTCATCTGCATTTACGAGTTTGTTATTGTAAACAAGACATATAGGTATTCTTTATTTGTTAATTTTACAAAAAATATATATTGTCCCTCCCTTAATTTTAGAAAATTTTATAATAAAAGTTTATGTACCGAAAAATATGATATTCATAAAACATGATAAAAATACAAAATCCAAGTACGAATTTATAATGTTGAACAGTTGTTATTAATTATTAAGCAAACAAACACAGATTTATCTTATTTTCTTAAATATAATATTCTTAAATTATTTATTATAATATTTTCTAATTAAATTTTTTATACACACCTTGGCACTTTATAACTTTATTTGCAAATAATACCTATTTTCAAATGATTATTTTATTTCATACAATTTTTTAATTAATTATTTCATGAGAATATTTACAAAAAGCAATGTGTTTTTACACGTATACATGCATAGGTATTTCAGAGTTCTAATATTAATCCATAATACGTAAGGGATTTTTTGGTAAGAATCATTTTTTTTTTAGTTAATGGTTATTTTGACGCGTCACCAAAACAGGTTCCAAAGTTCACGTTTTGTCTATACGAACAAGTTGCTCCATATATTGGCGTACGTGATGTAACCCAACGGGTCAGGACATTAGTGATCCAGCATCTCTTCATTTAACTCAATGACGCCCGAATACACGCGCCTGAATAGTCGTTTGCCAAACGATTACGTGAAAATAGGAAAAACAACCGTGGACTTTGGACGCATGATTCGCCAAGAAAAATGCGAGCCGGTTTCATCAGCGTAATGTATGCACTTTATGCTAATCAAATATGTATTAGAACATCATCAATAGCATAGATTGTCAAGTTTACAGCAGTTTGATAGCAGTGAATTAGATAAAAATTTGATTTTAAAAAATATTTAAATCATTTCTGTTAATCGAAAGTTTGTATTATACAATATAGTAGAAGTAGACTGTCAGTGAGATAGTGAATTCTAGGAGTAATACTCAATTACTCAATAAAAGGTCAATGAAAGTAACTTCACGGATGGAAGATAAGACTTTTTTTAATTTTTATGACCTTGCGAGAAGTTCACGTTAGTGAATTTTGATTGTTTGTGATTTTTACGATGAATATCCGGTTCGGAGAAAAGATGCATGTTCGCCCAACGCGCGCAGTTTGTCTGACATTGAGGTAGAGGGGCTAACTGTTTCTTCATTGGCTCGTACACAGAGTTGTTCACTTATAGGTTCTGGTCGATGCTGCTTAAAGCCGCGGTGGAGCCAGACCTACTAGTCGTCGGAGAGCCAAGAAGTACGCATCTATCGACCGATCGCATCTGCAGAGAACAGCGTCTATTCTCGTCCGGACGGACATACTTGCATCACCTCCATGATAGAATATGTTCCCTGAAAGAAGAAGCTAAAGCTGAAGAATCGACGAGTTTATAAGTCTCGGAAAGCATCAGTTAAAATTTCTAACACTGGTTGTGAACGCCTACGTCGATAGCGCGTCGACAGCACATCGATCGAAATTTCGCCGAAAAGGAGTAGGAACGGGAGGAAGAGAAATCACGATAGAAAAGGAATATAAGAGCGATTACAACAGTGACCTCAACTCAAAGCCTAGAATCTCGGAGCAGAAAAGCGGTCGGTGAGATCGGAGCCAGGTGCCGCTATTACTATGTAAATTTTCAGCGGGTGTATTTATTTGCGCGCGCGCACTGTCGCCAACGAGCAACGACATTAGCAGCAACGGCAACATTATCGTTAATAACAGCGAGTGAAACGGACACGGGCGAAAGGGAATCGCGCAGCACGCTGCAAAGTAGATATCTGGTCTTTTCTTTGACAGATCCCAAGGAAGCCCGCAAACTGGCTCCGGAAGTGAGGATAAAGCAAATTGGAATGAGGGAGGATTTGCTATCTATAATACGGCACACGAGCAGCGATCACTTCTCGGAAGAGCTTTAGCCGGCGGCTTAACCAGGAAGTAGAAACGCGAGCAGCGGGATCAGCCAGGTTGAAGCGAGTAATTCGCAAGTAGAATATACGCGCGAATATAGAGTAGAAGCTGCTCTCGCTCGTTGACGGTTTTTTTTTTATTTTGGAGCGAGTAGCTCCACGTCCGGCTTCCTTTTGCTCTGAGAATCCTCGGTGTTACTCCTCAATAATTCTGTCGTCATCGAAAGGGAGAGAAACAGAAAGGGAAGGCCGAATATCCGGAAGACCGGTTATTCTCCCTACGAATTTCTCGGTTATGCCCTGGGTCGCCGCATGTTTTGATCTGTTAGCGACTCCGTTACTGGGTTACTGCCTTGCGGTCAGAAAACTGGCCCTGCAAGCCGGCCTCCTGCAGGAGAAAAAAAACGATCTCGCCGTGAGGCAGACGTCTAACACGGGGATATCCTTGAACGCTGACACCACAACCATCATGGCCCCTAACGCGGAAGAGCAACGTCAAGGTAATGTTTCGCGTGGGGTGAGTTGTTTGATGACGAGGGCTATAAGGAGATTGTGAAACGTCTGCTTACGTAATATATATCGTCTTCTTTTACGTCACTATTTTTGAACATCGATTTCATGTTGAGATAAAAGTATCTATGTACAATTAGCATACAATTAACATAATTGAGGTATCAAAGCGCTTTATATAGCGAACACATAATAAAACATAATTCTGACATACACCAGGTTCTTGATTGCATGGTAGTATCTAGTTATATAATTTTTGAAAGAAACGAAAATAATCTTAAATAAACCCGTAACAAAAGTCACAGTCTTAATAATGTTATCATTGTATTATTTATCTTAAATTTATATTGTATGTCCGAATCTATCAAAGTATTTATTAATAAAGAATAAGCGTGATCTCAGAATAATTATCAATTGGACAACAATTTTGTGTGTCTATTTTGTAATTGTCCTGTAAAAAAGTGCTGGCATAATTTCCTCGATAAATTATCTGTGCAGTGTAATTAACGCATATTTATTTTAAAAGCTTTACAATAGCAGATTTGGGTATTAAATAGTTTTTATTGTAAATTATGCATGTGCATTTATACTATTTCCTGCTTATTGTTACAGTCAACATTAACTGATTCATTTAAAAGCGTTTCAAACAAACGTTCACAGCATGAGGTAGAAAAAGAGAAATTTGAAACTTATACATTTTTCATTTTGTTTTCATTTTCATTTTAAAATATAAACACGCATATAATATATCATGTAGATAATATATTCTCTATAGACCTGTGAATTTTTTTTTACATTGTATTAGAAGCCGGTTTAATAAAATTCAGAGGAAATGAAAAGTGAAAGGAAAACAACTCAAATATTGAGGTCGCCGTCTTCGCTATCGCAATGTCTGTTCATCTTACATTTACGCTTCTTCATTTGTTATTTTCAGTGTGAAATTAGTAGCAGTAAATATTTCGAGTTCATTAAAATGTGGAAAATATATGTAAGTTTATATTATATTGTCATTATATCTCCTGTGCACGCAAGAAGGTGGTTAGCTAAAATTATAAAGGATATAAATAAATGTATAAATACGATCCATTTAATATCGTCATCATTTTTACTACCTTACATACAATGGTTTGGGCAAATCATCGACACGTGAACAGACAATTAGTATTTCGTTTTACGCAGTTCAGATTTTTTTTCAAACTTGTTAATGCAAACTCAAGTACGCACAAGCATTGTGCTATCAATGTGTATTTCATTTTTAATACAACATCCGCACTTTTATTTGCGACACCGTTCTCGTATTACAAATGTCATTGTTATATGCCGTGTTGGATTCTTACAATTCCGTTATAAAATATAATTTTGTGAAATAATTGACATAAAATATCGTGAAAGGTGAAATTAAATATAATAACTGAAATATATTACAAAAGATTTTCGAATGATTAAATTGTATGCAAATGTAATGTGCATTGATTGATTGACAATTTCTACTTGTTATCATATCCTGCTTCATAACGTTCAATTTTTACATGTGCCATCATATTACTTCTAGTTAAATTATTATTCATTTCAAATAAAAAAAATAAACATATATGTGTTGCGAAAAATATAAAATTTATACAAGATTTTCTTAATAAGAACGAGTACTTTGTGTCGTGTAAAATATTATATATATTAATTAAATCGAAATACATAAATCGAAATACACAATGTTTTTGTAAGATAAATGAAATACTAAAATTTATATAACAAATAATATATATTTTTATACATTAAATTGCGAGGAAAAGATATACCATCGAGAGACTTTTTTTCCTTCTAAAAGCTAAATATTATGTGTCTGTAAATATCATCTGCTGAGACGATAAATATCTATCTACACTGAAACTTCAATTTATCATTTTGGCATTGAAAATTATCATCACGTCAAGAACCAAATCATATTCGTCTCTTATCTCCTAAGTTATACATGTACAAGAAATTTCAGAACTGTTACAATTCTTACATTCGAAAAGTTTTTAGTGAATATAAGAGAAATTATGAAAATAAATGAATAGAAAAAAATTAAATATCATAATTTTATAATAAATAATATTAATTCTCGTAAAATTTAATATACTAAAGAATCAAAATATTTCTGTTAAAATAATATATATTTGGAATCGATTTGATAAGATTTTTATTGGTAAAGTTATTTCTAATTCTTCATATTTAATTTAATAATATTTTTTAAATATGAAATATTATAAGAGAAAATGTCAAAAATTTTAACGAAAGGATAATTATTTATTACATCGGTTAAAAAATTTATTAAACTTTTCACCACTGATATAATGATTGAATTCTTAATTTATTTAATTTTATTTTTACAAATAAAAAATAAATACATTTTATGATATACATCACATTATACGATATTAAAATATTAAAAATATTAATTATAAAACGTTTTTCAACACACACACACACACCATATAAAAATAATAAATTATCTCATACCCTATCCATATAATAATTTAAAGTATAAATTTTTGCACTGCTGATAGCACTGATTAGATAATACAAATCTCAATACACAGGATAGTTATTATGTACATGTATTATCACTTTGAATTTAGATATTGGACAAAAAAATAAGGTTATCATGTAATGCTTTAAGTTGAATAGATATAAGTACTTTATATTTTTGGAATTTTTTCTTAAGCTATCACTATTTTCTCTTATGTGAATTTTAATAATAATTAATAATCATCATTATTCAATAAAGTTAACAAGTTAGTGTATTAATTATATGTTTGTATAGTTTAATCAATATAATTATGCATTCAAAATTGCATACAAATTCAAAAAATACATGATAGCGATAATATGCATTACATGTTTATAAAATTTAAAAGAAAAAAAATTATTTTGTTTTTGCTAAGAATAATTGGAATTTTACTGCATCTAAAAGGTAAATTATTGTTGGCTTCGGTAACGCATGGAGAAGCCGAAACAAAGCCAGTGCATACGCATTTATAAATCTAAATATAAAACCCATTCCTAGTGAGGCACGAGGGATTATATATATTTCATTGCCCACTCATTCGACGTCATAGAATACATTAAATTTCTACAAAGTTTATCTAAAATAATCTAATTTTAATCCTTTTATTAAATATTGTTTCTATCGCTTTTATTAATCTTAAATTTTTATATGTCTACTGAAAAATATGGGCTAGATCATTTACACTTTACACTGCTTTATACATAAAATTGTTACCTGCAATTTTAAAATTATCATAAAATTGATTGAATAGCAAAAATATAATATTAGGTGTAGTAAAAAGAAATCCATTATTTTTTCATTCAATTTCATGTAAAAATAATGGATTTCTTTTTACTACATCTAATATGAGAGAGACTTTACGAGATTTTAAGAATGTATATTTTTAATATTTAATTATAAATTATTATATTAATTAAAAATTATAAAGTGTCTGTTTTCTATATGTGCATATTTTAATTAATAAAATAATATATTTTTAATAAAAATTATTTCTTATTTTTACAAAGTAATAAATCTTTATATGTTCTCATACATTAAACGTTTGAATTGAGTTTTTTTGTCGTGCATTTATTAACATTTTATTCGATTTAATTATCCTATGTTACTGAAAAAACTTATGATTTTCAGGTTTTAATATGTTTCTGATAAAAAAACTTACTGATTTTCATATTTTTATGTCTACAAAACATTTTATCAATATTTAATTTCGGATCATTAAATTATTTTTTTTACAAACATTTTTTGTAGCATTTATCAGTGCAGAAAAATGGACTATCGTAATGCGAAAGTGTTCATTTGCACATAACAAAATGTATATTTCATAACACACGACTCATAAAGTATTTCGTACAAATTAGATGTTTTTGCAAATATATGTGTAACGCATCATTAAAATTCAGGTTAATACATAATACATATTATTCTACGTTGTAGTTTGAATGTATTTCCGTAACTTTTGTGTAAGTAGCTTATCCAGTTCTGTAGTTGTCATATGAATATTTTATGACCACTATTATTTTTAAAAGAAGCTTTTAATACTACGTCACAGTCCAAAGTCATGTTATCGTATTGTATATATACCATTCTCATATTACTACTGCCTGCATCTGTATAAAGTACCACACATCAGATATATTGCCAAAATATTCACACAGTAACAAAATGCCTCGTTCAAAGAAGCTCTGACTAATAACATTATATTTAGTTATTATCCTATAATTTTTAAAAATTTTATTGACGACATTTCAAGACAAACATTGCAGATGGGAAAATATATTTTATAAATATATGTCATATTATTTCCGAATGAATTTTTCAAGAAATAAAAGTTGTTAAAAAATATGATGTTTTCATGCTTTGTGCTATTTACATAATATTATAATATTACCAAGATAAGCACTGTTACATTTTAATATACTTAATTAAATTTTATCTTTATTGTTATAAATCACAGGTACAATAAATCGGAATAAATTTTTATATTTGTATATAAATAAGAGAAATATTTGAAAATTTACGTTATAGTTGCCATAAAATAATTTTTAGTTACTGTATTAAATCCGAGATGATATGCATAAATTGCCTAAGTACAAATAGAGTTTTGAATGCTTTATTGTCTACATTCTTAGACTCTGGCAAAGAGAAGGTCGCAGCAAGAATCTCAGGTCTATCAAAATCATCGCGCAAATTCGCGGGAGTCGTCATAGCCACTTGTGGTCTACCGGCTCGTGGAAAAAGCCAGATTGGACAGAGCCTTGCTCGCAGACTCATTTGGAATGGCGTAACTACAAAAGGTAAGTACATCTTTAATGACTTAAGATAAATATTTATTAAACTCGTTTAATCCATAAAGATTTATTGTAATTATATGTTTTATTTTCGATTAAAAGATTAAATCAGGAAGAATTACAATATTTTATAAATTTTGTTTCAGTGTTTCGTGTGAATGATTATCGAAGGAAGCGATTCGAACCTCATATATCTCAAGAACTTTTCCTGGATAATGCGGCAAATAACACGTTAATAGCTCTCACTCAGAGAGATACTATGCAAGATTGCGCAGCATGGCTTGCATCTGGAAATACTGTGGCAGTAAGTACTAAAACGTTAAAAGTTTCTTCACAAGATTACTATTGTAAAGAGAAAACAATATCTTAAGTAAAGCTTCTTTTTTGTCACAACAGAGAATACGTACTGATCTATCTATGTCCTACCCAAGAACGTTTCTCTGATTACTTTTCTGTACCTATAAGTAATATCATAGGAAATTGCATGACAATTGATTAGATGAAGCGTCACTTGTGGTGGCTTCATTTACAATAACACAGTTATTTTTCTCTTCTTGTTTTAAGATCCTGGACGCTATGCTAATCACGCGAACACAACGCACGGAAGTCTACGATTACTTCTCCGGTCAGCTTGGTTATCGCGTTCTCTTCATCGAATGCGTCTGCGATGATCCAGAAGTCCTGGAGTACAATCAACAGGAGATCGTAAGACATTGCGCCGACTATACAGGAGTAGACACCGCTTTAGCCACGGAAGATCTGCGCTCAAAAATCGCTTTTTACGCTGGAATATATGAACCTATGAATGATAGAACTTATCCCAGGATCAAAATTAATACTGCTACCATGGATATCGAGACCTGCAAAGTATCTGGTCACATTGAAACCAGTGTGCTTGGTTACCTTGGAGATATCAGCCTTAAACCTCACACTCTTTATTTCTCGAGGGTAAACAGTTCAAGTTTTTTTATACTTTATGATAAAAATATTTTTATGCACTATAATAATTGCCAAAAAATGGAATAATTATGTAATAATTATTTTGAGACTTCTATAGATATTCTCTTCAAAGAAACTATGCAGTTTGTGGGTTATTTTCATGTCTTAATACATTATTAAATGTTAATGTTTCGTGAATATTACAGTTTATTTCAAGAAGCAATCTCTCCAATTCATTGCTTCTCAGCCTGATGAAATTATATGTCACAAAACATCGACATTTAATAAATTAAAACAAAGAACTCACAAATGCGTAGTTGCTTGGAATAATTACGTACATTACACACATTCCATAATTATGTATTTTATTGACTATTTCTATTTTACTTCGCATTTTATAGTCTTTCAGTTTACATTTTTGTAATGTTGCAGCATGGCGAAAGCGAGTACAACGTGGTTGGTAAAATCGGTGGCGATGCGGTATTGAGCACCAGAGGTGAGCGTTATGCTCAAGCTTTATCAAACAAGTTCAATGCCATGCGTATCCCCGATCTTCGAATTCTCACCAGTCGCCTCCGTAGAACGATCGCAACGGTACGTGGCATCGAAGCTCCTCGGGAACATATAGCCGCTTTAAATGAACTTCACGCGGGAGTGTGCGAAGGTCTCTCGTACGAAGAGATGCAGGAGCGTTATCCGCAGGTAATTGCTATTTTTAAATAAACTCAAACAGAATATCGATGTCAACTAAAAATAATCGCTTCGAATCATACATGATTCAATTTGGTACGAAGTTCGAGCAATCAATATTTTATCGGAAATCTTCTAATTATGTGAGATAACCGTAACAATTATCATGTCTATTTATAATTTTACAACAGGAGTTCGCTTGGCGCGATCAAGATAAGCTACGTTATCGCTATCCATGGGGCGAAAGTTACATCGATGCGATGCTACGTGTTGAGCCGGTGATTGCCGAGTTGCAGTGTTCTAACAATGTACTCGTGGTGTCACATCAGGCGATATTACGCTGCATCATCGGATTCTTTCTTGATAAGAAACCTGAAGAGCTGCCCTATATGGAAGTGCCGCTGCACACGATAATCCGCATCACCAGCCAGGGTTACAATTACAAGCTCGAGTTTTTCAAGCTGCCGATCGAGTGTGTTAACACGACTCGTGTCAAGCCGCAGAACTGCAGCGGTGACCGTACTGCTGCGGATGCTCTGATAACCGTTCCCGCGCACTTCGACATACCGGATCCTTGGAGAAATCCCGGAGTTGGCCACGGGCCCACTCTCGTGCAACAGCACTAAGGAAGTTCGTTTTAAAAGTGACATAAATCAAATTTTGAAATATAAGTTTGATAAAAAGAAGTAATATAAAGCAATGGTTAATCGGTATACGATTTTGCACATGGTATCAGAAAATTTTACAATAAAAGGAAATCGAATAAACAAGATAAAATGTTATTAATTTGTATAAATTTTAATTATAATATATTTTTCTATTAAAGGTCTTATAAGATTTTCGAAAGTTGATTTATGTCATCATTGAAGCAAGGCGTTCTTTGCTTGTATCAAGAATTAGTTCTATATTCACGGTACTATAAAAAATTATTTACTTATTTGTTTGTAATTCTGGGATATTTATTATTATTACAAAGAGAAATTAGATCACTGTCATTATTAATATTTTTATAATGACAGCTACATGAAAAGTATCTTACAAAGACATGATGCATCGGCTTAATTTACTTGCGATCGGAATAGATACAATAGATGCAAAAATGAAAAAAAAAATTTGATTTCAAAAGTTTTTTTTTATATATTAGAGAAACGTACAGACTTTGAAGTATAAAAATATCTTAATTGGCAATATTTTGTATACGTCCTGACCGATTTTGACAATAGGTCTATAGATATCCCGTTAGGATACCGATAATGTATACCTTTTTAATAGTTAGCAATTGGAAGCCCATGACTCGAGCCCTTTACGCATCGCGGGACTCATAGTTTTGTCAATAGTTTATAGCATTGTTCAATTCATAGTAGCTCATTTCATAGATTAAAGTACATTACCTGTCGTGCTAAGCATACGCACAGATTTGTATATAGAATGGATGGGGATTTGATGAAAATTGTTTGTGATAGAGAAATAGTAACGCGTAGAAATTGTCAATTGACGCTGCGCATATATATCGTCGTATCTTTTCGTATCTCAGCATTTAAAAAATTTTTTTCCTTCAAAATATGTTGCGAAACTCTTATTCCGTGCTGTGATCGTTTTGATCAAATTTATGATCTCTTTTTGTCCCATTTTATTAATTGAGTGCCCCATCGAATTTACGATTATGTTGAAAAAAATATAAAATAATGAAATATGTTCAGATATATGCTAATTGAAAAATGTAATTATTGATTTTAAGAGATTACGCCTTAATTATCTGGCCTTTTATACGATCAAAATAGTGAAAATCTTATCTGGGTACTCTAAGACGTTATATTTTTATAAAAGATAGATATTAGATGCAATTACAGGAGTTATTTCCTTTATAACGACTAATTTATATTTTGACCAGCATACAATATGTTTATAATTATTTGTAATTCTTAATAATCTACAAATTATTAACTAATATATCATTTTACATATAAATAAATTATAAAGAAACTCTTTGCAACGAAATGGATGATCGAAAACAAATCTTAACATTAAAATGACTTATCAGAGAAGACAAAGATTTTACTAGTTTATTAGTGATTGATGTCGTTATAAATTATGATTTTCTGCAATAAAAAAAGAAAGCTTATTATTTCGAGTAATTCTTTGCGAAATAAGTATTGTGATTTATTGTATACAATGATGTAAATTGTACAATTGGTACATTTTATCTTTACTATTGGATCTTTGAAACAAATTTTTCTTACTTTATATTTATAAATTTTATTTAAATTCAACATATTATTTTAGAGACTTATCAAAATATGTATTTTTAGCATATATAAATGTAAAATGTAAATGTAAGACGCAGACATTTAACGGTACATGCATTTTGAACATGATTTAAATCAACGATTGTGTTAAATTTATGAATTCAAAGTCCTGCATGAGTTTGCTATAATTTCCCGTGTAACTAAAACATTATTCCGGCTAAACAAGCAAAACTTTGCGGAATAATATATACACAAATTAATCTTTATCCTTACAACGTCGTTGATTCATTGATACTTTACTGTATTTTATTAAAATAGTTTATTGCATAAACACGCATAATATTTATTTAGACGTGAACGCGAAGTTTTTCCAGATTTAATGCAATGATTAGCTACAAATCTGATATTCGCGCTTCCGAGGATTAGTTTACTTGTTTAATAATTTACTTGATAAAATGATTTACGTGTGCTATGCATGTCTTCCTTTTGAATGAGAAATTGATCTAGTCGATCTTCCGATGTTTCGACTGCTAAATATTTCGTGACTCTACATGTTTGAACGTTGAGAAGTGAATTATAATTTGTAATATGTACATTATGTGATTAAGATATATTATTCATAGTTTAAAAGCTTTAGAATTTTTTATTTGTACACTCTGAATAAATTTTTTTTACAAAATTTGTCTTTTATATATTTCTTGTTTTAATCTCATTTTTTTATCAAATAAAAGATAAAAATAATTAAAAAATTTATTTTCTTTGATACCACTAATATGTAAAATTATATCTAATAAGCCAGAAAAAATTTTAAATCTATTAGGTCCACGAAAAACTTAAGACAGCAAGACGGCGGAAATCAACATATTGGATTGATTATTTACATTATGGCTTTACGAACTCTGATTGATCAATTCGCTTACTGTTTATGTTTTACTGCTTAAGTTTTTTTGTGTGCCATGACTCTTAAAATAGATCTTTGGAAATTAATAGATTCTGTATTTTAAAAAATTAAGTACAAACTAAAAAAAATTTAAAGAAATTATAATCAGTTATAATATTAAAATTGTTTGTTTAAAATTAATTTATTTATCTGGATTTATACAGTACGAAGTTTTCCAAGTGTAAGACGGAAACTTTCAAGAATACTTATAAAAATACACGATTCCGAGAATTGTGTAAACTTTAAAATTTAAATTTTCGAAAATCAGAAATTATTAAAACATATATTAAATACAATGATGAATAAAATAACTTTAATAATTTCCATTGTAAAAATAAGATCTTTATTATTACTTTCCTTTATTTATATTATAAGTAGGGGAAGATCACACTCATAACTTTTTTTTATTATTAAAGATCAATTGTACTTCGATATATAGATATAAATATATAAAGATATACATATAGTTGTGTAAAATAATTGAATAATTTGCAAAACCTTTATAGAATAATCAGGCAAGTTATGACTAGCAATTCAATTTCACATATGACTAGATAGTTTTTCATAAATACAAGAATTATGACATCGGTTACTTCGCTAAACGAAAAAAATTGATTATTTTTTTACATATCTGAAACTAATTTTGACAATATTACTGTAAAATTTTTTAAAACAAAATTATAATTTATAAATTTTTGTCACGAATGACGAAGGTAATATATCATTTTAATGAGTAAAGAGATATACGTACGAACATATATTACCCTTTCATTTATATTAATTCCAATAATGCGTCATATATTGAAGAATATATTGAATTCGGAAATTTTCCTCACTTAATCTATTTCCATTCAAAGGTATTATACTAAATATCCGATTTCATTAATTTTGACGTATAGTCTCTTTGTTTAGCAGCCAAATGCAAATCCAAACTTTTCAACATTCTCGTTTGAATTTCATGCGTGTTGGACTCTCGTTTATGAAAATCATTAACTAGAATTTCATCTTTTAAATGCAATGATTCGTTTTGTGAAAAATTGTCGAGTTCGATCGTATTTAATGAGCAGGATTTGTTTCGCGATTCCCATATGATGGTTCTCATGAATTCAAGGGCCATTCTTCGACAAGTATCGAAACCTAGTAATTGTATTCTTTTACTACGAATGGCATCTATGCGATGATTTTTCCAGCGTGTTTCTCGGTCTATTATTTTAGCGAGAGAACTGGGTGTCCCAGGTAAATCGTGAAACACTTTAGTAAGAATTTCTTTTGTTAGATCTTCTTCACTGCCGGATGCGTCTGTAAAACAATGAAAATATTTTAATAAATTTAACGGTTCGTATGATCGTAAAGATTATGAAAATAAGAAAGACTTAAATATCAATTCATACATACATATAAAAGAAATATAAGATATTTTAACAAAATATATATATTTTGTATACAGTGCAGTTTATATTTTGATTTTGGAAGAGCAAATAAAAAGCAAATAAAAAAGCATTTAACAATTAAAAAATAAATTTTCAATTTGTGTGTGCAAATTTCATTAAAAAATTTTATCGTATATTCAGGATATTAAAATTGCCATCTATAAATATAATTTTTTAAACCAACATTTTTTAAATCAATAAAACAATTCTCATTTTATTCCATATATTGCAAACAACATGGAAATTGATGTCATATCGCATTAATACGATATAAGCTTCAATCGAAGCTCATGAATGAATTTGACGAAATTGCTAAGATATCTTATGAAAATTTTCACTTAATTATATACAGATTGATGCCGATCCATAGTATAATTTTTATATTATGAAATTGAATTCCATGCAGAATCTTTCAAGATATCTGTAATAATTGATATAAGCCTTGTGGAAACCAATTCCAAATTTCTCTTGTTTCCAATGTCGACAATAGAGAAATAAATTGCTTTTATAAAAATGTCATTTCATTGATAATCAATTATTCAGATAAATCATTTTGACATGATAAAAAAAAGTCCAAGGTCGCAGTATATGAGACAAAGGAAATAAACTTCGATTAAAACTTTATGAAGATCTAAAGTGCACATCTTTTTCTATCGCAGAATGTTACAAAAGTTGATATCGAGTTACGCAATGCTTAAAAGAAAATTTGAAAACAACGGGAAAAGTTTTGCATTACTCAGATCGCTACCATCGATTTCTGCGATGTATGTGCCTTCCCTGATCTCTCGTTGTAATTCTAGGACTCTGGCTAAAGCCAATTGGAGATATTCTCTTGTATTTGGATCCTGCAGAAAGATGATACGCTTATGTACACTCGAATACATATTATATGGAATATACTTACGATAAAGACATTTTTGCAATATTAATTATTTAATTTTTAAAACATCAGATATCTTTATTTATTGATTGAGAATTATTTATTAAATAATTCTTATCTAATTACTTATCTATTACTTATCTCCTACACTTTATTAATTAATAATTTAAAATGTAAAAAAGAATAAACGTTTACATTGTTAATAAAATGAAATGCAAGAAAATTTTTTTATTTATACATTTCATATAAAAATTATATATTATATTGGTAATCACTCCATTAATCATATTTTAATAACATAATTAATAAGTTTAACTTACCGCATATTGTTCAGTGTTTTTTATTCTTTTAGAGTCATTGCCAACGTCTTCTAAACAAGGTGCCTGAGTACAATAATTGTATCAAAACAATTGTATAAAAATAATTTCTTTTATAATTTTTTATAATTTTAAATATATATCGCTGTTTTTGTTTTATTAGGAACATTTATTTATAATAATATCGCGATAACTCTGTATTAATTATTTTATAAAAGTATACACTGAGAAAAATATATATCCTAAATTTCAATAAATATTCATTTGAATAGTACCAATTATATATTTATTAAGCATAAAAATATATTTATTTGGTACAAAAAACATTAATTTGAGTCAACAATTACTTCTTTTAATTAAGTACATATTATTTATTGTAAGTAAATGTTTAGTTATTGGCAGTATTCAAATAAATATTTATTTGAATTTAGGCCATTTTTTTCTCAGTGTAGATATCATCTTTATCATAAATATCTTACCGACGAGTATCTCTTCATTATTTGACTCAGTGTTTGTCCATCTATAATTCAACGAATTGGAAAAATTGATTTTTTATGCCTAGAAATTTTATTTGTGATTAATTGTAATAACAAATAAATTTCTGTTCAAAAAATCCGAAAATTTTAAATTTAAAATTTTTAAAAATCCGAAAATTTTAAATTTTAAATTTTTAAAATTTTAAATTTTAAAACAATAATATTCAACGTTATTTTTAATTAAATTTTCGCGTTTTATTTCGCGTTTCATTTATATTAAAAGATGGTTATGCAGAAGATTGGTTATGCATTGAAAAAATATACTAATTTTTAAATATTTGTTTGAAATAATATTTACATTTAGTAGATAAAATACCTACTAAATGTAAATATGTATTTATATTTGGTTCAACAATTTAATTATTTTTATTTAAGTGTCATCTTTTAATAAAGTAAATATTTAATAAAGTAAATATTTAATTAATATTAGTAAAAAATATGCTATGCTATAGTAAATTTTTTCTCAATATATTCATTTTATTTCATTTAAAAATAAGATGAGAAAATAAAAACTGCTCAAATGTGTAATTATATAAATCAACTATAACAACTCAAGGGATTACGAATAAAAAAAATATTTCAATGCTAATTCAATACAACATAAAACTCACGTATATTAAAATAAACATTTTTAAACATGAGATCATTATCAATGTTGTAATAACCGGTAATAATTAAAATGATACATAAAAGTCGCATGATAATTCGGAATATAAAAATCAAAAATACAAGTCAAATCGTAATTAACGATTCGAAGCAATAATAGAAAGCTGTTATAGATGACCATCATTAGTTCTCTCGCAAATCAACGTCAATAGTCATTAATTTCAACGCAATGCTGCAATATAACGATAGTGGATCATAATCAATCTGCCAATAAACCGTATATAACAAGAACAGATATTGTAATTGGCATAACACATCAAAACTCAGGCTTGCACAATCCTTGAATAACGAATAATTAATGTCACATTTTACGAAACTTGCAATTAAAACTTTGCAATATAATATGTAATCAAAGTTGTAAATCATATAATCGTTAGTATTTAAAATTATTTGGTATTTAAAATTATTTTCAAAATTATAATCCTTTAGTTTATTAGTTGATTTCTTTAATTTAAGTGATAATTTAATTTTATATGATATTGTCTAAACTATCACGAGAAAATTTAGTATATAATGGCTAAATTTTGCATTGTACATGTACGTCGATAATGCCTTGTAAATTGTTTATTTCAGATCATTGTGTATTAGCTGTACGTACAATATCCATTATGTCCGAATATAAATGTTTTCGTGAGATTAACTTTAATCTCACGAAAACATTTATATATTATAATAACATAATTATGTTATTATTTTCCAATTTCAATCATCTATTATGTCAAATTCGTGAAAATACACGAGTTTAATATTATATTATTTAAAAATTCTTTTACTATATTATGCGATTTTGCTACAAGAATAAGCAGTCTAACAAATTGTCAAATTTTTACAAAATAATGACATTGGTACAAAATGTAAAACACATAGAATGAAGCTACAAATTTAGTATCTATTTAATCGTTTTAATACCATCTGGAAGTAATGATATCTGTTACTTACGCGCTTCTGTCTTCAACTACAAACGTGCACCTCTATAAATTTATTTTTCAAGTTTGGATCAGTTATTCGTTGTATCTGCCTTGTTATTTAACGTTATCGAAGTATCAAGAGATTCTCTCGCGCTTGCAGACACACGGCTTTGTGCCGTGCGTAAAGTTTCTTCATCAAATCCTTCCTCGTAAAAAGAATCACCTTCTTTGTGTTCTGTTTATCACGAAAAATACAGTATTATCGTTAAGTATAAGTAGACTGTCAATGGATACAACCGTTGACTAACGTCGATGGTTCCGTACTACCAACCCCCTCATTTTCACAACCGTTGTTGAAGGGGGCCCAGGCGAGGGCGTCTACCAGGTTTATCTTCCCCTTCGAAATCCAGCTGTTCAACCGTCGTGTAAAAAGTCTAACCAAACGAACGGCAGATGCAAGAACCCCCTTTTCTCCTCTCTCTACCTACGCGTGCCCTGTTGAAGGGAAGGACGACGAGTGGCACGTGCGAGCGAGAGTACGTTGCACGCGTATCGAGGAGTCTCGTATCGATTATTCTTACTTGACGTCCAAGTGATTTTTGCATATGTACGTTCCCATAAAATTTATTTACGCTAAAGAAAAAAACAATACAGTTTTTACATATAGCACATACAGTTATAATCTTTGTTAATGCAGTTCAACTGCATGGAAAAGAAACATGTAGAAAATATTCTAATATTGTCTCTTCCTGCGAAATGTACACAATACTTCTAACAATATACGTATATGTATATGTATATACAAGTAAATATACAAACAATACATATACATATACAAGTAACATATGTACATATATGTCCTTAAATCGATTTTTTCTTGATGAAGACTTTATGAATTGATTCTTGAAAGTTTTCTTTATTTAAATTATTTTTTGAATACTTATTTAAACATATTAATAATATTATTTTAAATACTTATTTATATTAGCTGATTAACAACAAGTAATTTACATCATACATCTAATCTTTGTTAATGCAGTTCAACTGCATTGAAAAGAAACATATAGAAAAAACATTCTAATGTTGTCTCTTCCTGCGAAATGTACACAATGTTTTTAACAATATACATATATACATATACAAGTACAAGTAAATATATAAACAATATACATATGCAAGTAATATATATATATACATATATGTCCTTAAATCGATTTTTTCTTGATGAACTTTATGAATCAGTAGTTTTAGTACATCTCTTTTTATAAAGACATACAGCGTGTAATCATCTCAGACATTATCTTAATTCTTGAAAGTTTCCTTTACTTAAATTATTTTTTAAATACTTATTTTAAATACTTATTTATATTAGCTGATTAACAACAAGTAATATACATCATACATTAATTTAAATATAAATAATATTACAATGAGAAGTTTCTTATAGTACAAAATTTTACTTAGTTTATATAATACTTATATATTATAGACTAAGTAAAATTTTGTTCATATAGTGTCAATTATACTACAAACTTTCGAACGATAAAAGAAAACATTTCTATGTAATGTATACTTTGAAAAGACTTACATAATTTATATATGCATCTGTAAATAAGTAATACTAGTTATACACAATTACTTACTTATTACACAATTCAATTGAACTAAAGAGACTTTAAAATGAAAAATGAGTTTCGTTTCATCTGTGTTTCATGTTTTTTTACGGTTTTATTCTCATGAAACACTTGTAGAGCTAATTTAACTCGGTGAACCAATTACCATCATAAAAGAGATAATAAAACGAATACTTATCAACTCGATGTCGTTGTATTTTCCTACTTTTTAATTTCTTTTTTACGACCCATTTATTTCTTGTGTGAAAGAACAAATTCAATTTTCGTTTGCTTATACGATTTTATTAAATTTATAAAAAGATTAATGTTATTTTTGAAAAACTGTGATTCCTAATTTCTTAATATTAAATTTTCTAATCTCATTGAAAAACGATTTATAACTTTTCTTAATCTTCTATATCAATTTATCTACATCTTAATTCTCCCATTCAATTCAATTACATCAATTTTCAAAGAAAAGTTTAATGATATGAAAAGTATATTAGTCGCTTGAAAGAACTTTTTCGGCAAAAAGGATTGTAGTGAATTTGCAAATGCTATTTAAAGAAAAGTACGTATTTAAAAAGATACATAGTGTAAAGTAAAACATACATATTCTCAAATTGATATTCTTATAAACAAAACGATTACAAACGGTCATCTATAATCTTTAAAATGATTATGGAAATATTTATTTGAATAAAATTGTGAAGTCTGTCACTGCATTTTTTTAAATCTGTATAATAGGAAAACCTGCATTACTGTAGCGACCTGATGAAATTTTAATTATTTGTTTGATACTCCATTATTACCAGCAGTGATAGTATCGCGATCTGCATTACATTGATACCTTATACTTCACTCTGTTTATACTTCAAATTACTTACGAGAGCGATTTTCGGTCACCACAGGAAGCTTAGTTTCTATACTGCCCATTTCAAATACTCCGGTTGAATTAAACTCTTGTGTTCGTCTTCGAATGGTGGAAGCACTGGTCTCGTTAATGCGCCGACTTTTTTGTAAAATAATATTTCCCTGCGTAATACTGCTTTCCGTTCTATTTCTACCGCAGACAGTGGAACCACCAGGTAGACAGCAACATAAATATTTATTAAATCTATAGGTAGAAGAACAGGAATAATAATTAAAAAAACATATCTTCATATTATCTTTAATATTATCATATGATAATCATATTATCTTTAAAAAACAGACAATAAATTTTAAAATTCATATTTGTGCTCTTTATATAAATAGAACATATTTTTGCAATTATACACACACCACACACACACACACACACACACAAAGATATATATATATATATATTTTATGAACAGAAAAAAGTTATACTGATAAGTAGAAAATGTGTAAACAATCTTCCCGTACAAAAGTTTGCGGAAGGATTTGCATTTTGACGAGTTCTTACTAAGTATTACAAATGATGAAAAAATTATTAAATATTCTTTTGTGAACATAAATTGGGTTTAGCTAATGAGATTACTTCAGAATCGAAAATTGTAAGATTAATATACTAGTATAATTTTGCATAATATATACTGTGTAAATTTTATTTCTAAATTATTATAATAAAATTTGAAATATGTCACTTTTTAATCGTGATTATTATTAATAATAAAATTTATTATTATTGAAATAAAAGTATTATTAATGAAAATTTACCAGTATCTCTCTGATTAATATAGAAATTTTTTATTTACAAGTAAAAAAATATTATACACACTTACTTTTGACGAAACGTGCGGCTAATTAAGTAGAGAGCAATGGGATTAACACAACTATTGATGAAACTGAGGCAGAAACCAAATATTCTAAAGGTGTTCCAGTAAGAATTAAAATCGTCCATGGCCGTTGGATTAAAGTGGAACCAGAGCACATAAATATGATATGGTAGAAAACAAATCACAAAAATGATTATAAAACATACTACCATTTTGCCCACCTAAATTGCAGTAACAAACGAAATCATTAATACAAAAGCGTCCAATAAGAAGCAATTGAATTTTAAAAATTATTTAATAGTATGAAGCATGATTTTAATTCTTTGAAACTTTAAGAAGTATATTTTTATATACCCTTTTGCGCGCCTTTATCTGTTCGTGAAGATCAGAATCGGGAAGTTCGCATGGCATATTTCTAGTAGACAATGTTAGATGCCATGTCATGCTCAAATAAAAAATAGCTATCACGCACAATGGTATTAAGTAATATGCTAAAAATTTGAACATCACCATACTCTTTCGATAAATTTCTCCTGTAATGTAAAAGCATATATAACGTAGTATTTATCTGTGCGCGACTACTTTACAACACGAAGCGTTTCATAAAATTTATATATTTTTAGTGTATCTAATTTAGTTTTTATATTGTTCAATGATGTATTAAAATAAAATACTGTGTAATAATATTTAAGTTCCAAATATAATAAAGGCTCTGATTAGGAGAAATATTTAAAGTCTAAATATGTAAATCTCTTAGAAAAGATAAAAATGCAAAAATTATTAATTATAAGGGAAAGATAAATCAATAAGAATCAATGCGGATGTCGGCAATAATAACAATATATTTAGTCTCTTATTCACAGTAGATTATATAAAAATGCAAATATTTTATAAATCAATAAATTAATATAATATGCTTAATATAATATCATTAATAAATTAATATTTTGTCATTATAATAAATATATTTTATTCGTTATCTAAAAAATTTGAAATTTTTTTTAAGTAGTAAAAATGATATTATCGTATAAATTGATTATCGTTAAATTTCATTATAAATTTTACAATTTACATATTCATTTATGTAGTCCTAATTTTATGATATTGTGTTGAAATGAATTTTATGATATTGTGTGAAAAGAAATGTATCATGACTTACCAAATTCTTCAGGGAAAGGATTGCAGATTAAAATACTGCGATTTCCTAATACAGGTACAGACGTTATTTCGGAGAAAAGCACAGCGGGCATAGCTATGACAATCGCTAAGACCCAAATAAGGGATGCCGTTAAAACGGTAAGTGGTTTTGCGCTTAAACCCGCCACGTGGCGACGAATAGGGTTTACGATGGCGCAATATCTAGTGAGAACGTGAGATGCGGCAATAGATTAATATCATAAAAGCAGCAGAAGCTTGCTTATTTCAAAGATAAATTATTCAAGATACAAACAACAATTAATTTGCGTATCTTAGATTGTGTCTCAATTTTTCTAAATTAATCTTTCACTTAACCTCAATTAGCAGACAATGTTTTTAAAACATTTTTTAAATATTTACTTGACTTAAAAATATTTTTTAAAATATTTAATATAAATATTTTATAATGAATAATTAAAAAAT